TCTGCTTTAAACACCTGCACTCTCTCAGTCTGCTTATCACAGGATGCAGGGACTAACTAGCCTCGCTCAAACAGGGCCTAGAGGCTACGGAAGTCAAGAGAGAAGGTCTGGAGAGAGAAGAGTTCAAGCTGGGGGAGGGTGTGGTCTGGGGCACTCCTGGGAACTCGAGACAGAGGAAGTGGGGCCAGGCCAGAGAAACATGCTGCCTTGCCCCCAAGAGCGGTCAGAGGTCAAAGCCCATAGGGGGAAAGAGGCTCAGGTGATTTTTTTTCTCATAATGATAATTAATAATAATAACAATGAGATTTCTAGAGTGCTTTAAGGTTTTCAAAGCACTTTACAAATGTGACCTCTTCTGACTAGAATGACTCCCATTTTACAGATGAGGAAAGTGAGGCACAGAGGGGGTTAAGTGACTTGGCCAGGGTCACACAGTAGAAGTGTCTGTGGCAGGACCCAAACTCAGGTGTCACTGCCTCTTGGTCCTGTGCTCTCTCGAAGCAAGGCCAATCCACTGGGGGTGACACAAGGTGGATCTAAGGCTGAGTTGCCTTCCTGACCCAGCTCTGCCATGCCCACCTGGGGCCGGGGGGCAGAGAGCAGTCTGGGCACCATGTGGCAGCTTTCTTCACTAGCTCCCCAAGCTACCCTGTCTTTTGTTTTATGTTTATTCTGCCTCTCCACTAGCATGTGACCTACCTGCAAGCAGGGACTGTTCCTTTCACTGTATTTCACTACTGCATCCGCACAGCAAGGCACAGTGCCTGGCACATAATGATTATTTGCTGATTGATGGCCAACCGTCAACCGTACCTCTCTGCCTCAGTTTCCCTGCCTGCAAGCAGAGGGAGTGTCTTGGGTATGCAGCCCTGGTCCCTCTGATCTGACAGGCTGTTTTCCTTCTCCTGCCAGGGTCCAGGCCTCCACACCTCTCCTCCCTTGACATCATCTTCTCTCTAGCCATCATCCTCACCCCCCCTTGTCTGAGAGGAGAGCCTGGGAACAGTCTCCCAGAAACAAAGGTGCATGTCTTTAATGCCAGTGATCTGCTGATGAATGTGTCAATGGGCATTCACTACTCTGTCCCGTCAGCCGCCTCACTTTCTCAGGTGGACTCTGGGGTCCCTCCCAGATGACTCTGTGAAGAGGGAGTAAGGGGGCTGGCTGGGTAGAGGGATAACCTTCACTGCCCTCCACCTCCCACCACTGCCTCCCAGGGCTCCAAGGCTGCCCGTAAAGCAGCCTTCTCCAAGCTGCCTCGCCCAGGGGAGAGGCAGGCAGGCAGGCAGGCAGACATGACTCAGCCAGTTCCCAATTCTGCCCAGGGCCAGCTCGCAGATCCAGGGGAGGAAGAAAATGAACAAACTATAAAAAGAGAAGTTTCTCAATCGTGAGAAAGCTGTGCCATAAAGACACACAGGCGACCTCAGCCCTCAGAGACCCCACCTTACAGAACTCTCACCAATAAGCACCAGATGCTCTGTCGTTCAGCACTGAACACTCAAGTTCCTGTCCCCACAGAGTCTGGGGTGACGACCCCCAGATTACAAATAGCAATCCAGCCAGGCAAAGGGCTTAGCCCAAGATCAGCCAGTCAGTCAACAAACATTTATGAAGCACCAGGTACATCATGTTAAGTGCCGGAGATACAAAGAAACGCAAAGGATAGTTATGGGGGGCCAACTTGTAAATAACCTTGTACGAGCAAGCTACAGGCAGGGGACGGATGAAGGCCTGCAGAAGGCGGGGTCTGGTTAAGGAAAGGAAGCCAGGAGGTGGAGATGAGGACAGAAGAGGATTCTTGGCAGGAGGGACACCCAGGGAAACCACCCAGCGTCTTGTTCCAGGAACAACCTGGATCAAAGGATACGGAGGGGGAGAGGGAAGGCGAAAGAAGGTCTGAAAGGACCCTGTAACAGAGAAACAGGGTACTGAGGTGGTGCAGTGGAGTCAGGAAGACCCGAGTTCAAATCTGCCCTGAATAGCTATGTGACCCTGGACAAGTCACTTCATCCTGTTTGTCTCAGTTCCTCATCTGCAAAAGGAGGTGGAGAAGGAAATGGCAGAGCAGTCCAGCGTCCTTGCCAAGAAAACCCCACATGGGATGGTGAAGAGTTGGACACAACTGAAAACGGCTGAACAAGTCAAAAGAACAAGCTTGAGAGAGGAGGACAGAGAGGAGTTGAGCCGGCCCACCAAGCAGTCGAGGTGGGGAAGGGAGGAGATGGTGGCCAGGGCAGGGGTGACGGCCCGGAGAGAACCGAGGGGGCGAGGGACTGGAGGCCACCTGGGAGACCAAGAACAGGGCTTGGGGCCCCAAGGCCTCTCGCGAGGCAGAAAGATAACAGACTGTGGTCAGAGAGGAGAATTTCAGAGTTCCTCACCCTGGAGGCAGCGCATTTGTGGGCGGTGGCAAGAGCAAAGGTGTGCCATCTTGGTGTGCAGCTGAGGTAGTGCAGAGGACGGGTCAGGAGGAGTGAGTGGGCTGACAAACTGGGTGGTTAAGACGGCTGAGGGAGAGTCAATATGCATGCTGCAGCTCCCTAGTTAGAGGGCCAGGAAAGTGAGAAAGATTGGGAGCCACTGGGGGAGAGCCAGACAGAACTGGTCTTCTGCCTCCAGGGCTATCAGACTAGACTTTCCAGGCCCTTGTCCCAGGGCCCTCACGCATCGGCCCCCAAATCTTAAGTATCCTTAACAAGTCTTTCAGAGTGGGAAGGGCTCTCAGAGCAGAGACCTTTAACCTGGGACCTGGGGCCTCTGGACTTCCTGGTTTTCTTTTCTTGTTATTATTTTGCTTTTGTGCCCCTTAGGAGAGTGTGTGGCCCTCAGCAGGTGCATAATAAATGCCTATTAGCTGACTCTTAAAGAGGTCCTTTCCATTTTTAGTCACCTCTAAGCCTCCACAATGGTGGAGGCTTCCCACCCTTTAAAGAGAAGGGAATTCCACAGCCATACTGCTTTCCTCCCCATCTGAGCCATGCCTCCTTCAGCTCTCCATTATTAAACCCCCACAGCAGTCTCCAATCACACAGCAAACCGAGACCAAGCGCCTTCCTGAGTCCATCTGGAGCACAAAGAACAACAGCTTTGACACCCCTGGGCCTGGGCTTAGCACAGTTTCCAGCACACACTTGGTGCTTAATAAATGTTTACTGACTGGCTCTCTTTGAATCCTGACTCTGACATTTACTATCTGGATGATCATGGGCGAGTCGCTTTACTTCTCCGGCCTCAGCTTCTCTAACACAAGGGGCTTGGCCTACACAGGGTCCACCAGACCTACCGTCCCAAGACCTTGGAGTCAGATCCCCTCTTTCCTCAGCAGGAGCAAACTGAGGCCAGAGAGTTGTGCCGTAACTTGTCAAGGTTGAACAAAGAGCAAAAACAGCAGGCATTTCTCGGCCCTCAAAGGCCTGTGAAGTACCTGACACGATCTCTCCTTTCATCCTCACAGCCAAATGTGTCGCCGGGTGCCATCATTATCAGCCTCTTTGTACAGATGAGGATACTGAGGCTGGGAGAGTTCCAATGACTAGGATGGGAAGCAGGATTCAAACTCGGGTCTCCTGGATGCTAAGTCTGGTGCTCTCCACAGTCTATACACATGGTAAGTGAGCCAGAATTCAAAGTCCCGACTCCACATACAGGGCTTTTAAGACTTGAACTAGGTCACCGGGGAGAGCAATAGGTACTCTTCCCAATCTCCCTCCCAATCCCACCATCATGTCCCTCCCTTGACCCCAAATGCCTTTCAATCTGCCTGAGGCCTGAAGACACCATCTGTTCAAGGCCCTTATTTGACCAAGGCACCAGACCTGTGCAAGACAGTCTGTACTATTTTGGTCCTGTGGGCTGTTTTTCCTCCTACCTCCCCCTTGCCTCTCCTCCATCACTGGAAACTCCTAAGGAGTTTCAAAGCTGTGTTTGTGACCCTCAAACTTTCTCCAGCCCCTCCCACACTGTTCCTCTCCTGGAAGTACCTAATAAATGCCTTTTAATGACGTTGAAACCACTGCCCCTCAGCCCACACCAGCGACACTCACTGGGGGCAGCAGTGGAAGCCAGGGGAGGAGGATATGAGCAGACCTCCGTGTCCCCACTCATAACACAGGGTGCTTCGGGGCTCTGGCCTCGAAACGGAGCCCTCCCAGACACACGGCAGGGTGGTCACCCACCTCCCCCTCTGCACCTAAAGATGCCTGTGATCATGCAACTGGAAACTAAGAAATACAGGAAATGGGGTACAAAAGTCTATCCCGCCCTACAGGAAAACAGAAGGGGAAGGGGATAAGAGAAGAGGGGGAGAGACAGAAGAGAGGACAGACTAGGGGAAGGGACATTCAGAATGCATGCCGTCTTGGGGTGGGGGGAGGGGCGAGATGCGGTGAAAATTTGGAACTCAAAATCTTGTGGAAGTGAATGTTGAAAACTAAAAATAAACAAATTTATATTAAAAAAATAAAAATTAATAAAAACAGATGCCTGTGATCTGCCCCACCCCAGACCACTGACAACCCCCCCAGGATGGCCTCCCTCGGCATCCTGGCTACCCTCCCTCTCTGCCCCGCTGGAGAATGCTTGGCACGGTGCTGCCTCCTCCGAAGGCAGGCTCTGGGACTTTGAGCAAATCTCTTCCCCTCCCTGGGCCTCAGTTTCCCCATCTGGAAACTAGGGGCCTTGGACCAGAGGACCTGAGATGTCCCCTCCAGGTCTAGAACCCCAAGTTTATGAACCAGGGGCCGTGCGCTGCCCTCTCCACGGGGGCTCTGGTCCACAGAGGACCCACGGCCACCCCACGCGGGGACCCCTTCACCGAGGGTCGCAGTCCCCTCCCCTCCTTCACCCCCACAAAGCCCACGCCGCGCCCTATCCTCTATGTGTCAATTACAGCCAAGTCAATTACCTGAGGCTCGCTCTGACCTCGGGACGTGGCCCCCCCCACCAGCCCCTCCCGCACGCGCCCCGCGGCCCCTCGCCCCCACGCGCGCCCTACTCACAGCAGCGTGGGCTAGGCAGGCGGGGCTCGCTCGCGCTCTCTCTCGATCTCTCCGGCTCTCTCCCACGCAGACAGAAGCAGCGGAGGCAGCAGGTTTTTCACCCAGAGGCACAGGCGGGGTGGGGCCCGGAGCGCGGCCACGTGGGGGCGGGGCGAGGGGCGCGGGCCCGCGAGGGACTGGGCGATGGGGGCAGGGATTGTGGCGGGGCGCGCGCGTGTGGGCGTGGCCTAGAAGGGCAGCTTGTGGTGATTGGGTACTGAGATCACCGCGCGCGCACACGTCAGGTGGGAGGTCGGCGCAGAGGAGCGCGGGGAGGTGGGACACTCGAGTGGGTGGGGCGAAGTGCGGTGAGGTACTTGGTTGGTTGGTCGGTTGGTGTCGTCCGTCCTTCTCGAAGAGGACATGACATCACTATATAGGCATCAAGGTACTGTGTGTCTGACTGTGGCTGATCAGAATAAGGTAGTGGATGCTCTAGGGAGGAGGGACTGGGACAAGAACGGCGATTGGGTACCGGGATCGCCAGGAGGAGGGGCGAAGCGTGGCGATTGGAGACGGGTAGCGCGGGGACACGGGACGGAGTGCGGCGATTGGGTGGGCGAGCGGGAGGAGGCGGGGCGCACGCTGGAGGACGGGGCCCGCCGGAGGGCGGTGATTGGGCTAGGGGGCGAGGTTCATTACGGGCACGCGGGGCACGATGGTGGCTCCGGCGGTGGCGTTGGCCGCGGCGTCTGCGGCGTCGCGCCGCTCTTGGAGACGTCTCTTCCGGTGGCGAGCTCCAGGCTCTCGGGCTCCCTGCAGGCCTGTCTGCACCGCCCGGGGCCTGCCAGGTAGGAGCCGGCTCAGCTTCGGCCGGGCCGGGTCAGGGTCACGGCTTGGGAGTCCAAGGCTTGCTGCTGGGAATGGTGACGTCAGCTCCAGGGGGCGGGACGTGGGCGGACCCTGGAGACGCGCGCCCCCTGCTAGCCGCTCCGGGGCTATCCTGGCCTAGCTCTCCTCTGTCTCTGATGGCCCCCTGCTCGGGCTAAGCACATATTGAGCGCTTGTTGTATACTAGGCCGCCGTCCTCCAGGAGCTGCTAGTCCAGCTTAATCAGATGATGTAGAGGATGAGCATTTATTGATCGCTTTGGGTTTTCATTTAATCCTCACCTGGAGCCGTGATGCTTTTATAGGTGAGAACTCCGAAGACCAGCGTCTGTGCCTGATAAGCAGTCAGGCCAGCAGACATTTATTAAGCGCTTACTGTGTGCAAGGCTAGGAGCCAGACCTGTGGTCTCACTGGTTCGGGGAATTCCATCCACCCATTCAGATCTGCACCTACTGGGCACTTACCCAGGGCCACACAGCCAGCAGGGGTCCAGGGTGTGACTTGAACTCAGGTCTTGACTCAGGATGGGGGCCAGCCCTCCATCGCTAGGCTATTGCTACCCAGTAATAATAGCCCATGTTTCTATTGCACCTTACAAATCATAACAGACTGTTTCTAGAGCACTGGAAGGGTCCCTGGGTCTCAGTTTCCCCACCTGTAAAATGAGCCACTTGGTCTCTTTAAGTCCTTTCCGGCTGAAGATCTGTCAGCTGATGATTTCTCTGCAGAGGATTCCCGGACGTTGGGCATGTCCAGCCCTTACCTCTCCCTAGAGTCCTGGGTGCACACCACATGGAGGCTTCCCTGCTGAAGGCCCCGGCCCCTCCCCCTCCCCTCTCATCCTTTCCTGTTGATCCTGTCTGTGGGCTGCTTCTCCTTTGCCTCCCCCTTTTCACCGAGCCCCTGGGGGGAGGGGGGCTTCCTGTGCCTCCTGGCTTCGGCAGGGCGCTGGGTGCCTGTTGTTGTGCGGTCATTTCAGTCGTGTCTGCCTCCTCGTGACCCCATCCAGGGTTTTATTGGCAAAGATCCTGGAGTGGTTTGCTGTTTCCTTCTCCAGCTCATTTTACAGATGAGGAAACTGAGGCAGTCAGGGTTAACTGACTTGCCCAGGGTCACTCAGCTTGGAAGTATCTGAGGCTAGATGTGAATTCACAGCTGCTAAAGTAGTGCCTGCATGCAGTAGGCACTTAATAGAGCCAGACGAATTAAAGAGCCACCTGGCAGAGTCTGAGAGCAGCCTCCAGAGGGGAGAGAGGGCAACCTAGAATTGGGAGACCTGAGTTCAAGTCTGCTCTTGTGGGAACTGGCTGTAGGGCCCTGGACAAGCTATTTACCCTGGGCCTCCAGGAAGCTCAGGGGCAGGTTCTCCTGGGGGGGGGGGAGCAGACGTTCCTGGAGAAGCAGGTGCACCTGCAGGGCAAGTGTGCCTGGGGTGGGGGGCAGGTACACCTGGGAGTGGTAGGTGTGTGTGGGGAGGGGGCAGGTGACCTGGGGGGCAGGTACACCTGGGAGTGGTAGGTGTGTGAGGTGGGGGGGGCAGGTGACCTGGGGGGAAGGAGCAGGTGCACCTGGGGGGCAGGTATTTCCCAAGCCAGACTAGCGAGTTCTTTTTCCTTGTTTGACCTTCACTAGGACAGCAGAGGCGGCCTGTGCTTTACATTCTGCCCTTTAGAATGTGTCAGGCCAAGACACTGTTCCCCCACCCCCCTCCACTGATTTAAAGGGAGCCTTCTGACCCCGTGGAGCCAGGCGCTGTTGAGGATGCCGAGGGCCCCCTCCCCCGAGCACACCCCAAGCGGCAGTTTGGGGGTCCGTCACGTGGCAGGGTTCAGTCTGTGCCAGAGAACGCAACGCAGGGGTGTCTCGAGGCCCTCCTCTCTCTGGCCTGGATAAGCCTGGGGGGGGACATAGTGACCGCTCCCCAGAGCCTCTCCCCCTGGAGCAGCCTCTGCTGGCCTCAGAGGCGCAGGTCCAGGCCCTGTGCCCACGTACCTCTGCCTGCAGACCTGGGGAATTCCATGCCGCTTCAGGCCCCCTCCTCCTCCTTGTGCCCCACAGCAGCCAGCCAGCCAGCCAGCACTTACTGAGCACCTACTGTTTACCAGGCCCTGCCCTGGAGGAGCTCCCAGTCTAATGAGGGAAACAACAAGGGGAGGCCAGCGGGTCGACTTGTTCCTATTAAGCTCTCAGCCACTCCCCTAGCGCGGAGTAGGCACTTCATAAATGTTTATTCCATTCCATTCCTGTAGAAAGTGAGATTGAAGCTGGGCTTCAGAGGAAGCCAGGGAAGCCAGGGGTAGAAATGTGGAGGGAGAGCGTTCCCGGCAGGGGGCACAGCCAGTGCAAAGGCGTGGAGGTGGGAGAGGAAGTGGCATGTTTGAACGGCTAGGAGGCAAGTGAGGAAGAGTTGGGAGTGGAGATGGGTGAGTTGGGGGAGGGAATAAGACTTTACTGCAATCCCTTAATTGTGGGGGCATCTGTCCGCTGGTGACTGTGTCCCAGAGCCCTTGGGCTGGCCGCTGACGCCCAGGGGCCCCTTCCCACTATAATGGTAACCGCCTATGTTCATACCCGAAGGAAATGCTCAAATCCAGCCTGAGGTTAATGGAAATAACTCTGTCTTGTTCCTGGGCTCCCTGAAATCTTCCTGTGGCGGGCCCCTGGCAGGAACCCCGTTCTGGGAGGCATCGGGAGAAGCTTTCCTGGGAGCAGAGTCTGAAGAAAACACAGGGTCTGATGAGCTGAGAGAGGGGTGGGTGCACAGGTCACATGCAAAGGCAGAGAGGGCAGCCAGATGGGGGGTTCCCAGGGCGTTCTAGGAGGGCAGTAGGGGGCTCTTGAACCTTTGTGTAATGTTACGGGGGTGAGGAGCCTGCGGCCTCGAGGCCGCACGTGGCCCTCTAGGTTCTCAAGTGTGGCCCTTTGACTGAATCCAGACTTCACAGAACAGAATTGGTTAAACCCGAACCAAGCCTCTGGGGGGCAGGAGGGAGGCAGGTTGGATAAGACATTGTCCTCTGCCCTTGCGACCCAGAGCCACTGGAGAAGGTTCTTGAGGAAGGGGCAGCGGGCCAGCAGGCCCCCAGAGCGTGCTGTCAGAGGATCGGCAGAGGGAGGGGGCCCCCAGAGCGTGCTGTCAGAGGATCGGCGGAGGGAGGGGGCCCATTTTGCTGGAGGAGAACAGCTCTGTCAGACAGGAAGAGCTGGGGGGAGGCCGGGTTAGACTTGGGTGAGAAGGACCTTTGGACAGAAGGTGAGAGCTCTCCCACAGAGGCTGCCTGCCCCCATGGCCCTTCCAGCATGGAGATTCTGATGAGAGGGATGGTGTCAAAATAGGGCGTGTGATTTTTTTCCTCTCTACATTTGGAGAAAAGAAACCCTTCCAAGTAGCAGCCAGTGTATATCTAAGTGAGGTCTCAGGGTGTAAGGGCCGGCCAGCCCTGTTCTGGTCCCTGACTGATTAACCTGGGGCGGGGCTGTTTATCTACCCTCCCAGGCAGCTCCTTGGAGCTCCCAGAGAGCCCCGAGAACAGAGCTGGAAGGAGCCTCCGGAATGGCAGGTCAGTCAGCTCAGGGCTGCAAATGGGCCTGAACGGCGACATCTCTCCCTGGCTCTGGTGTCGGGGTGACTGTCCTCCCAGTTTATTGTAACTGAACTGGCTTGGGTGATTTTAGACTTTAGCTTTGTGTAATGTTACGGGGGTGAGGAGCCTGTGGCCTCGAGGCCACATGTGGCCCTCTAGGTCCTCAAGTGCGGCCCTTTGACTGAATCCAGACTTCACAGAACAGAATTGGTTAAACCCGAACCAAGCCTCTGGGGGGCAGGAGGGAGGCAGGTTGGGTAGGACATTGTCCTCTGCCCTTGCGACCCAGAGCCACTGGAGATAGTGTCTGCATCACTGAAAAATGCTGATGGATCTGGGCCGGCATGGCCTTGGGGGTGCCCCCCACCAGTGCCCAGCATGGCCCAAGGGGAGCAGGACTGCACGAGGCAGGGTGGGTGGGGTGACCCGGGGACGGCCGAGCCAGGCCACAGGCCCGGGCTTGGAAGCAAGGCCAAGGTCAAGGCCCAGCACAGGGAGGGACCCAGACTGGGCATGATTAATCCTGGCTGCTTCATGAGGGCAAGGTTGGTACTTGTCTGCATAGGCACCTCTACGCCGTGGAGCTTTTCCGATCCCTGTGGGTCTGTGACTTTTTATAAAGACCTTTGTACCAGCACTGTTCTTTGGGGAGCCGAACAGTAACCACATATGCTCCGCATAGCCAAGGCTCGTCAGAGACCGCTCTTGGGGTTCTAGAATGGAAGGGAATTGACATCTTTCCCATTGGCCCTTTGGACATGAGCTCATGGTGTGAGGGGGGGTAGGGCTGGTGAGAACCCCCCATCCTATCAGATCCTGCGTGTGAAGGGCGTGGACGTGGGCAGCACCCGAGACAGAGGCAGGAGCATCTGAGGGGCACGGGCACGGGCCGCACCCAAGGAAGACAAGGGGGCATCTGAGGGGCACAGGCGTGGGCAGCGCCCGAGGAAGACAAGGGGGGATGGTGGGATACAGATGTGGGCAGCACCCAAGGAAGACTAGGGGGCATCTGAGGGGCACAGGCATGGGCAGCGCCCAAGGAATACATATTGACTCAAACGGAAATTGGATTTCTCCACATAACTCTCATTCTCCTGCTGGGGGCAGACTCTGGGAATTGGCCCCCTCAGATGCCCCCTGTGTATTCCTTGGGCACTGCCCACATCTGTACCCCTCAGATGCCCCCTGTGTATTCCTTGGGTGCTACCCATGTCTGTGCCCCTCAGATGCCCCCTGTGTATTCCTTGGGTGCTGCCCATGTCTGTGCCCCTCAGATGTCCCCTAGTCTTCCTTGGGTGCTGCCCACATCTGTATCCCACCATCCCCCCTTGTCTTCCTCGGGCGCTGCCCACGCCTGTGCCTCTCAGATGCCCCCTGTGTATTCCTTGGGCGCTGCCCACATCTGTACCCCTCAGATGCCCTCTGTGTATTCCTTGGGCGCTGCCCACATCTGTGCCCCTCAGATGCCCCCTGTGTATTCCTTGGGCGCTGCCCATGTCTGTACCCCTCAGATGCCCCCTGTGGAGCTCCAACCAAAGCAGGAATCAGAGGAGGACCTTGGAGGGGCCCTTGAAGGGAGCTCAGGAATTCAGGAGGTAGAATTGAGAAAGGAGGGCATTCAGGTAGGAGGCCCAGCCTAAGCAAAGGCGTGGAGATGGGAAATGGGCTATAACATATGGGAAACAGTCCATTGGGTTGGAGAAATGCGAAATAGGAAGAAAGAGGCAGGGGCGACATTGGCAGCAGCCAGCCTCCGCCCTCAAGGCTACGGGGAGCCCCTGTGGCTTCTAGAAGGAGAGGGGCCTGGTTAGCCTGGGGCCGTCGTAGCTTGTGGAGGATGAATTGAGGATAGGGAGGTCACTGAGGAGGCAAGCAGGCACGATCTTGGGCTACCTGCCGACCTCCAGAGCCGGGCCTCGAGGCCGAGGTGTCTTCAGGCACGAGTGCATCTGCTGGGCTAGAAGCAGGCGGAGCCAGAACGTGATAGAACCTGAAAAGGGAGACCGCGGACAAGGTGTGTGAGTGCTCACTCACGGGCCCGAGGTCACCAAAGGCCACTGCCCGGGAACTGCCACGGGGGCAAGCAGAACCCGTTTCCAGGGACCCTGTGGCCCGCTCTGTGCGAGTGAAGGCCAAGGGACCCGACGGGTCTTGCTCTTTTTATAAATCAGCTGGCCCCTTTCAAGGCCTGTGCCCCGGGCTGGCCTCTGAGTGCCCAGCCCTTTCTCCAGATCATTAAAATGGGTCTATTCCTTTTGTAGGTGGCAACGAGTATGATCTGCTGGTGATCGGCGGGGGCTCTGGTGGCCTGGCCTGCGCCAAAGAAGGTATGTCGGGTGGGGGAGGAGGCGCCCACCCTGTGCCCAGTGTCATCCACCTGTTAGATTGATATGGGAATGAATGAATGAAGACTAAGCCCTTAGTGACCGGATGCCAGATGGGCACCGTGCCAAGCACTGGGCCCCTGCCTGTGCTCCAGAGCTGAGCCCTCATCCAGGGGAGGGGGCGGGCTTCATGAGCCAGAGGCACCTGCCAGGCCTGGTGAGCTCTGCCCTGGGCTAAGGGCCACCAGTACCAATGCCTCACTGTAGTCTGGAGACTGTGCCAGGGCCCTGGACCAAGCTCACACTCTCTGGCCCCACTGAGCTCCCACCCCAGTCAGCAGCTCTCAGGGACCAATCTGTGCTGGTGAGGGCATGCCCACTGACCAAGCCAGAGTTCCTTGAGATGTTGAAGCCCTGGATATGCTGGCTGTGGGAGATGGAGAGGAGGGCGGGCATGGATGCCTGCAGTGGGCAGAAAAGGGGTCAGGGAATGTCCCCTGCAGGCGTGACCTCCCAGCTGTACTGTTCTGCAGCACACAGGACTTAGCAGAGAGGATGCTGGGATGGATCAGGGGCCTCGCCAAGTTTTCCTTCTGGCCCTATCAGGACAGGGGCATCAAGCATATTGCAGCACTAAAATAACCTGGCTTCTTTAGCCATGCCCCTCTATGCCTGCGGTTGGCATCTGGCATGTTGGGGGTGGAGCTGGGGAACCTGGAAACTCCCTCCCTGAGAAGTAGGGGTCATGCTTTGCCCTTCCCTGATATTGAAGTAAACACTTTGCACCTCTGTTTTCTCCCCCCTCTCTCTTTCCCTCTCTCTCCTCCCTCCCCTCACTCCTTCCTTCCCTCCTTTCCTCTTTCCCTCCTCTCCCTTCTTTCCTCTCCTCTTTGCCCTCCTTCCCTCCCTCTCTCCATCCCTCTTTTCTCTCTCTCCCTCCCTCCCTCTGTCTCTTCTCTCTTCTCTCTCTCTCCTCTCTCCTCTTTTCCTCCCTCCCTCCTTCTTTCTCCTCTCTTTCTCTCAAACTTCAAAGCTGCCGACTTTGGAAAGAAGGTGGCTATCATGGACTACGTGGTTCCTTCTCCCAGAGGTAAGAGCGAGCCCGCTGCCGTCTGCCTTGTAAAGGTCTCAGTGCTAAGGGAGATGGCAGCTTCCTTCAGAGCAGCCGCCAGAGCACAGAGGCCCTGGATTCTGTCCTGCACCCACACCAGGCTTTCTCTCCCCTTTCGGGGTTGCCTGTGGTTCCGCCAGGCAGGGAGTGGGGAACTTCCCACTGATGGGGGGCCAGGTTGGAAGCCGGGGCAGTAGTCTGGCTTGGGTAATAAGGGCTCGCACCAGGCCGGATGTAGTGGGGGCAGAGGGGATGTGAGGGTAGCCAGGCCTGGCACAGGAAGGGCAGGTGTAGCAGGGAGGCCTTCAGCTTGACGTTAGACCTCCAGTGAGGTGCGTGGGTGCATGCAGCCTGGGCCTGTTGGAAAGGAGGCGCTCCTGCTCAGGGGAGGGACTCAGATGGCTGACAAGGAAGAATCCCTACAAATGCCGCGTTGTGGCACTGGTCATTTTTCTTGTCCTTTCGTGATGGGAACGGTCTAGAAAGGACACAGAGCTCCCACGTGGTTTAAATTCCTTTTCATCTGAAACCTCAAACACAAGTCCCCGAAGCCTCCTGGCTGCCAGGTGGGTCTGGTCGTGGGCCTCCTGTGCTCCAGAACCTCAGACTCCCCATGGCCACCCTGGAGCGTCGAGGCCCTCCAGACTGGCAGCCCGCCATGTCTGCGCCCCTGGGCCCTGGGCTGGCCTGTTTCCTGTGCCCGACTTCCTGCTGGCCCTCGAAGTGTCTGCTGCTCGCTGCTCCCCTCCACTGGGGCCCTCCTTTCCTTTCCGCCTCTCTCCCATGGTCCCATAATGTCAGATCCTCATGAGCCATCCGTGATTGGATCTCTGGGTCCCGCGTGGGCAGGGACACGAGTGGTGGGAGCGTCCTCTTTCCCTGCTCCTCACAGAGTGCTTGCTGCATGCAGTAGGCATGATGGTGAATTCATGCTGCACCATTTGAGACGTCATTGGGAACGGTCCGGTTGTCCCAAGTGCGGCTCACCTGCAAAGAGCCCCTGTGGAGGGGCAGAGCATGGCAGGGGCCTCAGGGAGTCATGGTGGAGAGCACCACGTTGTCTCTACATGCTGAGACCGTCTCCATCATCGAAGGGCAGGGAGATTGACAGATGCCATAGGGTGGAAATGAGGGTTGGAGTTTTCAGGCCTGTCTCTGTGCCATAATAACAGTAATAAGGAGGATTTTGCCTCTTCACTTGCAGGCACCAGCTGGGGCCTGGGGGGCACATGTGTGAACGTGGGCTGCATCCCCAAGAAGCTCATGCATCAGGCGGCTCTTCTGGGAGGCGCCCTCGAGGATGCCCACCACTATGGCTGGGACGTGGCCCCCTCGGCACCACATAACTGGTAAGGGCCGGAGGAGGCTTCCTCTCTGCTGCCACCCGCCCACGCTCCTGGACGTGGGCTTCACGGGGTCTCACCCCTGCAGGGTGGCGTCCGCCCAGGGCCCTCTGGCTCCAGCCTTCCCCAAGCCCCCTCTGGTCATTGAGAGAGAGTTTGATTTTATGCAGCTGCGAGAGCTGCTGGGGGGATCAACAAACAGGGCAGCTTAATTGTCCGTGGCACGTGTGAACAGCCATGTGGTTTCACGAGGTAGGCTGGAGGGTCCTGGGCCCACATGGCCACAGAACGCTCTTGGGTGCAGACCCAAGCTCTGGGGGTGTCTGACACTCATTAGCACTGCTGGGCCAGCGGGGATTCAGCGGGGCTCAGAGCTGAGGAACGCAGCCCATTTTTCTTGGGACAGAACAGCAGCCTCGGACTTTCCCCAGCAACACCCGGCTGCAGAGGCCCCTGCGTGTACCATCTGCACCTCCGGCTTGTGGGTCTGTGGGTGACATGTTCGTGACCCCGCAAGGGGACTCTGCTTGGCCCTTAGAGGCAGACTGGGGGGGAAGCTCCGGGGTGTGACCCATCACCTTAGAGGCAGTCCTGCGCTGCAGGCCAGTGGCCCGTAGCACACAGTAGGCACTTAATAAATGCTGATTGATTGGCACTGCTGGACCCGTCTCCTTTCCCTTCTCCACCAGGCAGCAGATGGCCACGGCGGTTCAAAACCACATCAAGTCACTGAACTGGGGCCACCGGGTGCAGCTGCAAGAGCGGTAGGCGTGCGCCCACGTCTGGGTGCGTGGGCGTGGAGGCGTGGGCCTGGGGAGGGAAGACAGCCAGCGTGTCCTGCACAGGCCTGTGTCGTCCCATGTGAACCGCCACGTGTGCAAGAACGCACGTGCACACACACACACACACGTGTGTAGACGTGCGCACGCATGTGTGCACGCACTTGTTTTTTTCTGCTCTGCGGCTGCCAGGAAACCTCCCGGCTCTGTGCCTCTCTGGCCACCCTCTCCCTCCTCTCATCCTGTAGGCTAGAGTCCAGGCCAGGCCTTGGGTTCCCAGCCCTGTGGAGGGGAGCTCGCTGCTTCTCCCTGTCTGGCCCCCAAGCTGGGCTGGGAGGCAAGGACGGATGCCAGGTGCACAGGGGTGGCAGACGCAGGGTTGGAGTCCTAGACTTGGCTCATAGCTCACGTGCAGGGAAGTGACTTGGCCAAGGTCCTGGGGGAGTCTGAAAAGCAGGACTGGAACCCAGCTCCTTAGCTTGCTACGTGCCAGCCTCAGGCTGCTTCCCGGGCTTTGTCACCGCTTGCCGTGAACCTTGGAAGGTGGCCCAGGTGGGGTCCGTTGCAGGTGAAAGACCCGAGGCTTGCCGGGCTCACGCAGCTGCCCCAGCCCCAAGTAGGGGAGGGAAGGGACAGAACCCCCCCCGCCCAATTCTTCAATCACTTGTTCTGTACCGCTCTAGAATGAAATCGGCCTCAGAGATGGGGCTCTGTCATTGTGCCCCACGGACCACAGAATCCATGGGAAAGTCCCGCAAACTCTGAGTAACAGAGGTGGGGGACAAGCTCTGTGTGAATGCAGGAACCCAGCTGCCCGTGGGGCCCAGGGCAAGTCATTTACCTCTGTCAGCCTCAGTCTGCCCCTCTGTAGAGTGGGGATAACCTGCATCCCAGAGTCATTAGTGAGGCTCGGCTTAGAGAGTGTGTGTGAGGCACTCTGCAGACCTCACGGCTCCAGGAGCAGGAGCTGGTGGTGTTATCACTGGCTCCAGGCCCAGGCTGCCTCCTGCAGGCCTTGCGGCCAGGGGGTGGCCGCAGGAAAGGGCTCGCGAGTGTTGGACTTCTCTCCAGGCGTGGGCCAGGCCTCTTCACCAGCTCTGAAGCAGCACCTGGCTTTCTGCTCCTTACTTGGCTCCACTTCCCAGGGAAGATGGGGGAGAGGGGGGCAAGAGAAGCCTCCTTGTGCCCCCTTGTCCATCTGGTGGTTTCACCTTCATCTCAGCCCCTGTTCCTGGGTTTCCTTCCCTCCCTTCCTTCCCCCCTCCCTCCCCTCTCTTCCTCCCTCCCTTCCTCCCCCCCCAGCCCCTGGCTTCACATTTTACAGGCTGTTTTGTGCACACTTGCTTCCCATTTGCTCTAGAGCGTGCGCTCCTTGGGCTGGGGGCGGGGGGGGGGGAGGCTTTCTGCTTTCTTCGCATTCCCAGGGCCTCACACATTCTCTGGCACATGGTTGGTAATTGGCTGCACTGATTGATCGTATCTTGGGGGAAATAGGGAGCCACTGAAGATTGTTGAGGAGAGCAGGGAGTGAGACATTCAGATGCGTGCCTGGGAAGGTTCCGGCAGCTCTGTGGAGGATGCGTTAAGGAGGGGAGAGCCTGGAAGTGGGGTGTTAGGGAGGAGACGGGAGGCAATGAAGCAGGTGGCTGGAGAGGGGCGGGTGGATGTGAGAGCTGTGGGAGAGGAGGGAGAGCTGAGATCGGATGGAGGATGAGTCCGAGGGGCTGGACCTGGGGCACTGGCCTGTGAGAACACAGAGTAAGGTCCGCCCCCAGGCTGGCCAGCGCGAGGCCCCAAAGTCAGGCCCGCGCCAGACTGACCAGAGTGGCTGGGCTTCCCAGGCCAGCCCTTGCTGCAGCGGGGCAGGTTTCCACTGGCCTCCCTCTTGGGTCCTGCCCCATTCCCATCCTTTCCTCAGTTATCTCCCTTCCCCAGTCAAATGTCCCTTCGCCAGGACAAGAGTGGCCCCAGAGTCTGAGGACAGGAGAAGTTATTTTCACAATAGAAATATTCTGGCTTTTCTCTATGGAGCTTGGTGAGCAGTAAAAGCGACCGATGTTGGTATTATTTTATATTTTTATATACTTTATTAAACTATTTATTTATTTTTAGTTTTCAACATTCACTTCCATAAGATTATGAGATTCAGATTTTCTCCTCTTCCCTCCCCAAGACGGCGTATAATCTGATATAGGCTCTACTTATACTTTCCTATTAACATGTTTTCACATTAGTGATGTTGTAAAGAAGAATTAGAGCCAATAGGAGGAACCACCAGAAAGAGGAAATGAAATTCAACAGAAGAAAAAAATAGCCAATAGTCTGCTTCGATCTGCATTCAAATTCCATGGTTCTTTCTTTGGATGTGGACAGCATTTTCCATCACAAGGCCTTTGGAGAGGTCTTAGATCCTTGTATTGCTGGGAAGGGTTCAGTTTATCAGTATTAGTCATTGCACAACGTGGCTGTTACTGTGTACAAAGTCCTCTTGGTTCTGCTCACTTCACTCAGCATCAGACCATACAAGTCTTTCCAGGTTTTTCTGAAGTCAGCCTGTTCATCATTTCTTATAGCACAATAGTATTCCATTACATTCATATACCGCAGCTTGTTCAGCCATTCCCCAATGGATGGGCATCCCCTCGAGCTCCAATCTTTGCCACCACAAAAAGAGCTGCTATGAATATTTTTGTACATGTGGGTCCTTTTCCCATTTGTATGATCTCTTTGGGATACAGCCCTAGAAGTGCTATTGCTGGGTCAAAGGGTATGCACAGTTTTGTAGCCCTTTGGGCATAGTTCCAAATTGTTCTCCAAAATGGTTGGATCATTTCACAACTCCACCAACAATGTATTAGTGTTCCAATTTCCCCACGTCCTCTCCAACATTTCTCATTTTCCTGTTTGTCATGTTATCCAATCTGATAGGTGTGAGATGGTACCTCAGAGTTGTTTTGATTTGCATTTCTCTAATCAATAGTGATTTAGAGCATTTTTTCACGTGACTATAGATGGCTTTAATTTCTTCATCTGAGACCTGCCTGTTCATATCCTTTGACCATTTCCACTGTTAGTTTTTAAAATTATCTGGGAAGAAAAAGATTGTTCTCTTCCCTTAGGGGCTGGGGGTGGGGTTTAGGTTTAGAGAAGGGGCGGCCCCTGAGTCAAGCCCTGAAGTGGCCTCTCCTCGTGGTTTGTTTCTAGCCTTTGAGGGTGGGGGAGTCTCCTGGTGCGATGACTCCCTGTAGACATGCTGTCATCGCCTCCCGCACCTCTCGGAGAAGGGCGACAGTAAGCTCCTTGAGGGCAGGCCTGCCACTTCTGCCTTTGTCTCCCCAGCACCTGGTAAACAGTAGCGGCTTCACCCATTTTTTGTTGAATTGCAGAACATAAAGGCTCCTTTTTGTTTTTCAGGAATGTCAAGTATTTTAACATCCACGGCAGTTTTGTGGATGACCACACGGTGCGGGGTTTCACCAAAGCAGGAAAAGAGGTGAGCTGCTGACCACAGAGGGCGTGCATTGTTAGGGCCCTGTAAGCTTGTACCTCATGGTCTCCTGGGGGGGTGCTGTTATGATTCCCATCGACAGAAGGGGAAACTGAGGCAGGCAGAGGTGAAGGGGCTTGTGCCGGGTCACACGGCTAAGAAGTGTCTGAGGCCACATTTGAACTTGGGGCTTCCTGACCCCTGGACCACTGCCCCGCCCCCCTGAGTCAGGGAGCCTGCTATGCCGTGGGTTCTGTGGCCAGGCAGAGCTGCCTCGCCTCCCGCCCACCTCGCCGCGGCGGCCCTGGCACTGGGCACTGAGCCGGGGAGCAGCACAGAGTGTCAGCATGGGCGAAGCGGCCCCAATGGTGCCTTTGATCACCCGAGCTCTGCTTTGTTTCCAGACGCTGGTGACCGCAGATCACATCGTCCTCGCCACGGGAGGGAGGCCCAGGTACCCCGAAGACGTGAGTGCTCTCTGCTGGTTGCTTGGCGACCTTGTCCTCGCCTGACCTTTTGTGCCAGCTCCCTCCCTCTTGGGTGGCGCTTCCGCAGCCTGGGAGGCCCCTGTGCTGGGGGGCAGGGAGGACACAGCTGGTTAGCACTGTGGCATTGCGGCCTGGATGTCTGACCTGGGATGTCACGGCAGCTCAGAGGCGTCTTGTCTGAGCCGCACCTGGCCAGGGATCTGCTCTATGTCTCGCCCAACCAGGAGCCATCCAGCCCACGCCGGAAGGCCCCAGGACGGGGAGCTCGCTACCTGCCTTGGCATGCCACTCCCCTTTGGGCAGCTCCTTGTTAGGAGGTATCTCTGGATGTCTGACCTACATCCAGTCTCTTACCAACTTAGTGTCTCATAATTTCCAAGTTGGGAGGAACCTTAGTGTCCTGATGGCCACTAAGTGGTCAGCCACCCTGACCCCCAGAGGAATTCCCCCCCTACAACACCTCTGGTTGGTCATCTAAGATTTTCTGAAGCCCTCCAGTGACGGGGAGCTCACTACCATCACAGTGTCCCATTCCCCTTGGGGAGCTCTCCTTGTCAGGAAGACTTTCCTGATGTTGAGCCCACATTGGCCTCCTTGTAACGTGCCCCCGTCTCTACCCCGCCCTCACCGCTGCTCCTGGCTCTGTCCTTTGGTCCCAAACATCTTCTTCAGGCACACGAAGACAGCTCCCTAGTACCTTCCTCCAGCCTCTCTGGGCTGGGCTCATCCCCAGGCCCTTCATTCTTGCTTTTTCCTCTAGACCCTCTCCATCTTATTCACATCCCTCCTAAGAGGTCGAGCTCAGATCAGAACAGCGCTTTTCCCCTCCTCTCGCTCCTCAGCCCTTCAGTCAGGCCCCCAGCCTCGTCACTCCACCCAAAGTGCACTCTTCCAAGCTTTTGGGGCTCTCTTCATGGCCTTTCCTCCTTCCTCGTCCTTCTCAGCGTCTGCAGCCTTGGACACTGCTGAACACCCTTTCCTCCTGGAGCCTCTCTCCTCTCTGGGTTTTCGGGCCCCCCCATGCTTTGCCTGGCTTGGGCTCCTTTCCAGACTCCCCAGCCACATCCTCCTCCATCATGTGGGCGGTGTATCCAGTTCTGTTGTGGCGGGACCCCTTCACTCCCCTCCTCCCCTCCCCTCCTCCTCCCTTCCCTCCCCTCTCCTCCTCTTCCTCTCTTCTCACCAGCTCCCACAGTGCCAACGACCCAGTATATATCCAGCCCCAGCTTCCCCCCTGAGCTTCAACGTTACATCACTATCTGTGGTTCCCTCTACCATCTCTCCTTATCTGTTGGCTCTTCCGGCCCCAGCATCCCGTAGGCATCTTAAATGGCAGCATGTCCAACCTTGACATCCTCATCTTTCCTCCTGAACTCTCCCTTCTTGCGCGTTCCCCTAAACTTCTGGCATCTCAGGCTCCTGACCTCGGCGTCCTCCTGGGCGTCTCCCTCGCACTTGCCCCCCCGATCCAGTCAGTTGCCAAACCCTGCTGTTTCTGTCTGTACAACATCCCTCCCATGCAAGCTCACCACAGCCCCCTTTATTGTGCTGGCTTTCGAGGCCACGGCCCAGTGACCCTTTGGCTCCAGGACCGCGCTGGGCTCTTGTGTTCATCCTCCGTCCTTTGCCCTCAGCCTGGGTGGGGGGTCCCTGCGCATCTACACTGGTTCCCTTTGACAGTGCCTCCTTTTTCCTCCTCATCAGAATTGTTTCTTTTTAATTTCATTCTTGGGAGTTTCCCATCCCTCCTAAGCTGATTTCCCCTGGAACCCTTATTAAGTACCTACTGAATTCCAAGCTGTGTATGAAACAATCCCTACTCACGTGCTGATGGGAGGGACACTGTGTAAATAACCAGGCCCTGTACTCAGAGTAGACAGAAGATCGCCTTGGAAGGGGAGATCGTAGCAGCCGTGGGGACTGGGAGGCCTGTAGGATGTCGGCTTTCAGCCAAGGCTCAAAGGAGCCTGGGAGCTGCCCGTCGAAGGGGTGGGGAGAGCTTTGGATTCTCCAAGGGGTTTTAGATTGAACTCTGAGCGGACGTGGGGTGGGGGGAGGCGAGTGTGGTATGCCGTGGTCAGGCCTATGCTTTAGGAAGATCCCTTTGGCAGCCGAGAGGAGGCCAGCCTGGCGCACGAGGGACCAGTGACCAATGAAAGGCTGTGGCGATGGTCCAGGAAGGTTTGACGAGGCCTGAGCCGGGTGTGAGGGGAGAGGAGGCAGCATGCAGCCCAGGTGCCGTGGAGGGAGTCCGGGTGAGATTTGTCTGTGGACTGGCCCTGTGAGGAGCGGTGGCCGGCGCTGGGCTGTGCGCCCGAGTGCCCGGAGTCGGGGTGTGGGGCTACGGCAGAGAAGGGCTTCTGGTGGGAGAGCTGGAGGCGCCTCTGGCACACCCAGGGCGAGAGGCCTCTACGCATCAGAGTTTTAGGCTGTGGGATTCTGCGTGCCCTTCCTCAAACCCTTGGCAATCTACTTTCCCCAAACCTGGCATCCCTGCTAGATGGTGCCTGGATTTCCTCTCTGCAGCGTGGAACGCTGACTTGTCCCAGGCTTCCCATTTCAGGGAGAACCAGTAGAATTTCCCCGTTTTCCTGTGGCTTTTGAAGGATGAAATGATCATTCACTCTGTTCGAAGTTCAGCCTGACCTGTGCTCTTGACTGCCCCGGGCCAGAAGTTCTCCCCGGCCCTCATTCTTCTTGAGATGATTTTGTGCCCTTGGTGTTCAGACACTTTTTCATATCAGGTGCTTAGCGTGGTGGAGAATGAGAGCCGGTATGGCGGAGTGGCTCCCAAACATCTGAGTTCACATCCCGTTTCTGACCCGTCCTGCTTGTGTGACCTTGACCTCTCAGACCGACAGGCTGCTCTCTGTGATCCAGAAGTGGCAGACGGGGCTCCTCCCAGACCAAGGCAGTCACAGGTTCTTCCCTCTGGAAAGGAGCCCTGGTGCCCAGGACCACCCATCACACTGGCCCGATGCCCCCGAGCGGTGTTCTTCCTGAACCCTGGCTCCTCAGTGGTCCCAGGCTGCTACCCACAAGCTCCTTCTTTCAAAGGTGTCCCAACGTGGCAGTTTGGAGATTAGGAGAAAAGGGGGGATGCACAGGTAACGGGAAAGGGGCCTTTTGTTATGGGTCCCCATAAACCAGGGTCACAGGAGACCGTGAAAGCAAACACCCATGTCCACCCACAGGGCATGCAGAGGGTACAATCAAGGAAAGACCTCTGGCCCTTCCCCCAAGGTGTCTAGTCTGCAGGAAATGCCCAAGAGGGAGGCAGACAGAGGAGAAATGGAAAGGCCGGCTTCCCTCCGGTTGGTGTTTCTGGTCAGCTCAGGGTCATTCAGCCCACCATGCCTGCTCTGGGCCAGGCGCTGTGTCTGAAAAACTGTGTCTTCTCTCTGAGAAAGTCACAAAAGCCCCAGTGGTGGGATCCTCACGTGGGTTCTTTGATTCCTGGCAGGTGGAAGGGGCGAAGGAGTACGGGATCACCAGCGATGACCTGTTCTGGCTGAAGAAGTCTCCGGGAAAAACGTAAGCGAGCCTGGCAAGCAGGACGACCTGGGCGTGTGGGTGGGCATGGGCTGGGCGGCATTTGGCCACCCACCCTCAGGGAAGCGACTCTTCACTCCTTGCAAAAAGTGAAGCATCAGTTTGCTTCGATTTGGCTTTTACTGTGACGTGGGGAAACACCGAGGGTGGCCGGTATTGGGGAAATGTCTTGGGGTTTCCCTGGTGGAGACTGAGGCTCACGATGCAGAGACGCTTGGGAATATGGGGGAGGTTTTAAAAATTCTTCATTATAATATGTGGATATTTCCACAGAACAGACAGCAGGCCTGGGGATGGCCCGGGACTCTGCCATGCACACACAGCTTGCTTATTCTAGGATAGAGGATGGTTAACCTGTGCTTCTAAACAAAGGGAGAGAGAGACACACACGCAGAAAGACAAAGACAGAAATACGGGGAGAGATAGAGAGAGAGGAGGGGGAGACAGAGGAAGAGAAGGGGGGAGGAGAAACAAGAGAGGGAGGGTTGAGTGACCCCCCCCGGCCTACTACATATGCATGGGGGGGCAGCCCATTTTTCAAGCCCAGCTTCCCAGAGAGTGCAGCCCCGAGGCTGGGGTTGTCAGGCTGCCTGGCTTTGCAGGATTTCCTGTCCCTGACTGTGGAACCGTCTCTTGGTCTCTCTTTCTGGCCTTCTGTCTCTTTCTCTTCATCTCCCCCTCAATATGTCGCTCTGTCTCTGTCTCTCTGCCTCTGTCTGTCTCTCTGTTTCCCCATCTCTGTCTCTCTCCTTGCCTCTCTCTCTTTGTCTCTGTTTCTGTGTTTTTCTCTGTCTTGGTCTCTCCCTCTCTGCCTGTCTCTCCCTGCCTCTCCCTGCCTCTGTCTGTTTCTCTGTCTCTCTTGCCCAGTGTGCATTAAATGCTGAGGTTCATTTTAAAGCCCAGGGTAATTTGGGCAGCATTGGCCCCTGGCCTGGTATTTCATGAGAAATCCACCAGAGGGCAGCAGATGCTCATTGTTGATTGAAATGAGCCCAGGGAGGTGAAGAGCCTGTGACAGTCCCTAGACCCTGAGCTCCAGACCAGCTGTGGTGACTGCCGGGGAGGGGCCGCTTGCCTGGAGTCCAGTGCCTGGTGTCCGGCCTAGTGAAGGGTCAGGTTGCCGCCGTTCCGTACCCCGGGGGTGACCCCCCCCCCAAGGCCCAGTGAAGGTGGCAGAGCCCCCGCCCACCCCTGTGCCCCTGCCTGCCCACCCCCTGCTGGGCCGAGGAGAGGGAGGACCAAGTGAGGGCCTATGGTGGGGAATGGGCTGTGGCCTGCCCAGAGCCAGGCCCTTCTGGGTACACACTCCCTGCTTCTTGCCATGTCCTGCTTTGTGCCGCTTTTGCTCATTGAAACCCTTCCTCAGGGAGAGGGGAGGTTCTGAACCAGGGTGGCCCTGGACCCCAGGGGGGAGGGGCAGACAGGCCTCCCCACTGCAGGAAATAAAATATATAGGATTGCCAAGGAAACCAGTTTTATTGTAATATAGCTGTCAAATTATTTTTAAAACATGTTCACGGAGCCCAGGTTGAAACCCCCAGCCTAGATGGACTAAATAAACTGCCTGTCTTAGTGGCTGAAGCTTTTTGCAGCTTTGGCAATGCCCGGTCTTCTGCTTCCTTCTGATTATAATAAAAGGGGAGGGACTTTTCCAGGGGAGCCATTGAGAAGGGGGCCAGCAGGGGCTGGGACCTGGTGAGGGACAGCAGGGGCCAGCCGAGAGCTTTGGGGCCTGGCAAAGGACAGCAGGGCCCTGGTCAGGGGCAGAGGGGCCAGGAAGGGACTCAGCCCCTTGCTGGCCCTGAGGCCAGAGCTAGACAGGGCTGCAGAAGGGCAGGCTCTGCTAGAGCAGGGAGGTGAGTGCTCCCTTTGCTGGAGGCGGTATGACCACCTGTCTCTGCTCCTAGAGGGCATCCCTACTCCACTTCACAGGTGGCACTGCACAGGCCGCTAGGGGCTGCCATGGTGGAGACAGTGGGGATGGAGTCAGGAAAAGCCAGGTTCAGGTCCTGCCTCGACCACTTCTTAGCCGTGTGACCCTGGCAAAGTCACTTAACTGCTGTTCCCTTCCGTTTCCTCTTCTGTAAAATGGCAGTCATACCAGCATGAACCTCCCAAACTTGCTTTGAGGATTAAATGAGATAATATTTGTAAAGTGCTTTGCAGAAGTGTTCTACCAGCCAGCGGGCATTTATTAACTGCCTGTCATCAGTTCTGGAGTTCCTGCGTCGTGTTCACTACCCTCAGGCCAGCCTTGAACATTTCCTTCAGTTATCTGAGGCCCTGAAGCCCCAGGCTGCCCAGGGCTGGGCCAACAAGGGCGAAGCACCCCAGGGCCTGTGTGCGAGGTGCCAGGGACCCAAGGGCCAAGGATAGAACCTGCCTCTCTGCAGAGGCCTCCAGCAGCCGCACCAGGCTCTCCCTGTACTCATCTGGGTTGGCACGGAGCGGACAGCGACCAGTCGGGAAGGGATGGAGCTTTTTCTTTGAAATAAGAATGAGGAGGAGAAGGGGGTGGGCACTGCAAGGCCAGCAGGAGCAGAGGCCCAGGGCCCCTGGTGAGGCCTCCAGGGGCCGTGGCAGACCGCCCACCAGGGCCGGAATCCTCCCTGCCCCATCTGACCAGAGACACAACCACAAACATTTTGTGTAAAGAAAGAAAACACCGTGTATATTTATTCCAAGAAAAAACCATCCCGTCGATTGCTCCCTGAGCTTTGTCGCTGGGCAGCCCTCACTGTGTTATTGTTCCCGAGGGCTTGCAATGCATCAGTCGCCTGTTTGGTCCTGACCATGATTTATGTGAGGAAATGGACTCTCACTTTTTAATTCAAAACCGCCCGAGAGATCTCTCCAGTCCGAGGGTTCTGGGAAAATGCCGCTTTGTCCAGTGCTGTTAATGCAAGTTGTAACACAGTGTAATATGGGAGTCAGTGTTTACATGTTACATTCCTAAGCTTTAGTCAAAATAAGCCTGGAGGGGTTACAGTAGCATTTCTGTATTTTATCAGCCTGGACTGGAGCTGAGCATGAAGGGAGCCGGGCCTGCTCGGGGCTCTGGGCTGCTCCTGGCCCGCCACAGGCCGGCTGGATGGGTGGCCGTCCTGCCTGCAGACCAAATTCCCCACGGGGCCCTTGCCCGTTCCTGATCAATGTGAAGGGCCCCGCGTCAAGTGCCGGGCCCAAATGCATGTTTCTGTTGTGATCTGGGCACGTTCTTCTGACCTCTGCCTTCAAGAAAGAGGCTTCCTGCATTCTTCCTAGTGAATAAGAAGGGCTAAGGAAGTGCTGGTGTGAGCTGGAGGACTTGGTGGGCCTCGGTTTCCCTGCTGGCTGGCCTCTGATCGGGGACCCTGTGAACACATGAGCTTGGTGACCGTGGACAAGTCAGCAGGTGTGCTGGGCTTCAGTCTCCTCATCTCTGCAGCGAAAGAGTAGGAGTAGGGGGTCCCTGGGCCTTCTGTTTCTCTCCATGAGTCTGTGCGCCTGTGGATAGAAATGGGGCCCTCCTCCTCACCACGTTATCACCATGACTGTGCCTTTGGAAAATGCTCTGCTGGCCTCTTCCTATCTGCCAATAGTTGATGGATATATTGGCTTTCCCAGCTGGGGCAGGAAGCGCCTCTCATTTCCCTCCCAGAGGATGTTGGGGGGAGGGTTGACGTAATAGGAGCTCAGGGCCGGGCTGGGTGTCAGCCTGCCTGCTGTAAATGCTGACCAGGCGGTGGCCTGTTGGGGCGGCCCCCTGCTGAGGGAGCCGGGAGGACTCAGGAGGGAGAAATGGCCCCTCAGCAGGGCCCAGCTCTGGGGTTCAGTGTCTGCAGGGTCAGCTTTCTGGACACCCACAGGCCACACTCCACAGACCACAAGTCTGGAGGTGCCTGGGCTGGCTCTTGGTGGCTCTTCGGACCGCCCGCAGCTCTTGAGAACACCCTCGCTGTAGGTCCTTTGGTTAATGGAGTCACACCAGAGTGAGGCCCCCACGGGGGTCACTGCCAGGGGTCAGGGAAGAGGTCAGGTCTGCACCTGCCACCTCCTCGAGAGAGAGAGAGAGAGAGAGAGAGATTTCAGGGGAATCAAGGCCAGCACACCCAGGGGACAGCCGTCTGTGCCCTCCTGCTGCTTCAGAGTCTAGTAAGGGGAGAGGCCACACCGCCTTTCCCTAGGCAGACGCCGTTGGCCTCTGGGATCTCTTCCAACCCTGGGAGTCGGGGATCTTGAGAAATTACGTGCCTACTGTTTGCCCAGGGCTGGCGATAAGGACAGAGAAAAGGCTGTTTGTCCTCAGTTCTGTCACAGTGGCTAGGCTCTTTTTTTGATCATGGCTTTCAGATACTCCGATAATTTTTAAATTCTCTCTCCTGGGTCTGTTTTCCAGGTCAGTTGTTTTTCCAGTGAGACATTTCACCTTGTCTTCTACTTTTTCATTCTTTTGGATTTGTTTTACAGTGTCTTGATTTCTCATAAAGTCACTAGGTTCTAATTGCTCTACTCTAATTTTGAAGGAAATATTTTCTTCAGTAAGCTTTTGGACTTCCTTTTCCATTTGGCCAATTTTGCTTTTTAGGGCATTCTTCTCCTCATTGGCTTTTTGGACCTCTTTTTCCATTTGGGTTAGGCTATTTTTTAAAAAAATTTTATTTTATTATTTTAATTTATCAACAATCCCTTCCATATTCTTTTGAGTTGAAAATTTTTCTCTCCCTTCCTCCCCCCCACCCTCCCCAAGATGGCACACAATCTGATATAGGCTTTACATTTACATACCTATTAAACATATTTTCACATTACTGAAGTTGTAAGTAAAAATTAAAACCAATAGGAGGAACCATCAGAAAGATGAAACGAAACTCAACAGAAGGTAAAAATAAGTGATAGTGATTCGACTTCCATAGTTCTTCCTTTGGATGTGGGCAGCATTTTCCATCCCGAGGCCTCTGGAGATGTCTTAGATCCTCGTAATGATGAGAAGGGTTCAGTTT